CTCGAAATGGAAGTAAGCTCAACAATTATGAAACAAAAGATTCCTTAAAACCCAACTTTTATTCGCAGCTAAGCTTACATTCCCCATTACTCACTTTGACAATTATCAAATATTGCTTTCTTTGTCAAATCGTGAGATATACTTTACACATTTCTTTCTCGTCTCCTCTACAAGTCTCAGACATGACTTTATAATAAATTGAAAATTTAACTTAGTATATAAGACGAACCTTTGGCTTTAATGTAAATACTAATGGGTATTTATGTTGAAATGGAAGGTTCCAAATAGTATATTAACTTGCTTTTCTCCTTCCGCATAAAAAGTCGGTGAAATTAGTGTCGAAGCTAATAATGCCATTCAGTGCATTTCATCGTCTAAACTTAGACGTATCCTTAAAACTTGAGTAGTCACTAAATCTTGGATGACGTATAACACAAAAACATTAATATAAAGTAAAACACATTTATTATTTACATTTTTCAGTTACTTGAATTCAGAACCACAGTTGGAAGGATGGTGGGCTTAGAGTCAGACTATCTGGCATCACCCAACCACGAGATTGTGCATCGTCTTGAGCGCATGCTTGCAAACCTGCCCAATTCGATCTGGCTCAAGCAGACTGGATCCAATTCCTTTTCGGCCGGGGTTCATGGAACCTCGTCTACCAATCCCAAAGTTTGCCATTCCGGCAGTCTCGTTGGGGGCACTTTTGTGCCAGCCTTCCAGACTGGGCTGCCATCCACACGACCAGTGGGGGAGCAGCACCACCTCACCCCGGTTTATCACCACCATCACTCCATCAGCCCACCTCATCAGCATCACTATCGCCAACAGCCTCAATTGCATCAACATCGCGCTTATCCGGTTAGTACGTTGATGCCATCGGCGGCTGTAGCAACGGGAGGCGTCGGAGCGACTACCTTCGGCCGAATGGCTTCGGTGAGCAGTCCAAACGGAGCCGGTGACCCTGGCAACCTAGCACAACAGACACACACACCTGGCTATCAAGGTGGGCGAAGGCGTATGAATGATATGTGCGTGCTGTGTGATTCATAATTATTTTACAGCTAATCACTGGAATGAGGAGAAAATTGACTTTGAAGGAATTCTCAAAAGATCCTTATTGTCGTACATTTCGTGTCGTTTGAAGAAACGGATGGTGGCGATCTGATAAATTGGTGCTGACCTTTCGCCCTGCATGTGGCATTACAGAATTAAAAATAGCTTATTTATGCACTTCATTCATTGGCAAGCATCTAAGGTAGACATGATGTAGCCAAAAAAAATAATGTGATGCAAAATGAGGTATATGACTCAAGTGGGATTGCACTCGGCCACCATTATTGGTTCATAATTGTGTTCACTTTTTTTAAATAATGATTTCTTGCTCGGATAAGGTCTGTCAAGGTGAGACATAGACGAAAGGTCACCAGGCAGTTATCGGGTTGGCAAAACGGTAGAACAAGCACTTCATTGCTCAACCCAGCCACTACCACTCCACAGCAATACCACTTCGGTCGCCGGCAGGCCTGCTTCATGAATCCCTTCCGCATGCCCTTTCAAAGGAAAATTATTTTACAATATCTTCTTTGCGAATATATATGAGATGTACGCGTCCTATTTTGTTTGATGTCATACGGGGAGTGGTAGTGAACTTTTCTTACAATCATTAGAGTAGAATTTAAATTTTGAGTAAATTTCACATCGCTTTGCTTTCCGAAAGGTATTCTCATCCAGTCTTGAGTGAACTACAGTTTTGACCTCACTTTGGTCTCGTCAACACTACCAGCGGGACTCGAAGCTTGACAGTGCAGTGTATGTTGGCCACTTTGTCACATTGCTGCGAGGGTCATTGGGTCACGGGTCAGATGAGAGTTTCTAGGAAATCTAGGCACTTTTCCCACATCAAATTCTCTGGAGCAAAGTTCCAATTGCTATAGCAATCGGCAGCATTACTTATTTTTCGTTATACAAGCCGATTTTCGAAACTTCCAGTAGATCATATATATGAGACATAGTCACCCTATTTTATTTCAGGCGATAAGGAACCGATAGTTCAGTTTTCCCCCCATTGGCATGACTAGATCCTATGCTCCAGGTGAATTTCATATAGCCTTTCTTTACCAAAAGCTATCCTCATCCCGGCTGGAGTAATCCACAATTTCGATCTCGGTTTAACCAGTTTCATCAGTATGACCAACAGAACGTGAATAAAGTTTGCGCTAGTGCAGTATATTATCTAGAAACGCTGACAATATTGTCATATTGGCATTTAGTGCTTTTGGGATAGAGGGCACATGTGAATTTCAAGGAAGTCCAGGCAATTTCTTCTATTGTCGAGCTCACATAAATTTTATGGGACGGTGTTTGGTGAAGAGATTCAAAGGTAGGTCCCACCAGAAGGCAACGGCATTTTTCTCTTGACCAGGTGTCGATTTGCTTTATTGGAGCATTTTATTTTACACTGTTCCTTGAGACAATCTTTTTGGATTTCGGTGAAAACGTGCTAAGTTTTTGTCCTCCATTTAACCAACATCAGCACAACAGCGCATCATCCTTACAATCATATTCAAGCTAATGAAATGTTAGCTTTGTTAAAAACCATCATACGACGAATGAAAGCTAGGCACGTTTATAGGTTTGGTATCGACAATACCAGTAAATCAGTAATATGAGATGTATTCATCCTATTTCGTTGAAGGTGATGAAGGACTGGTAGTTGAAATTTCTTGCAATGACATGAATAGATTGAATTTCACACAACCTTGCTTTCCAAAGAGGTGTTCTTATCCAGGGTGGAGTGTGGTTTCGACCTCGCTTAGGTCTTAGCAACAGACCTAGTGGAACTCGAACCATGACAATGAAGTGTGTAATCTCGACGCGTTAACTATTAAGCCACATTACCACCAGTAACAATGTGTCACAAGCAGATGCGAATTTCAAGGAAGGCCAAGCATTTTCCTATATCACATTATATAATGGGATTGTCGGTGATGATGTAATTGATACTTATAGAAAATATAACTTTGCTTCTTTTACAATCCCACCAAAGAATGTGATATGGGAAAATGCTTGGCCTTCCTTGATATTCACATCTGCCCTGTGACGCCAAGGTACTCGTGGAAATGTGGCGTAGTGGTTGACGTGTCGAGGTTACACGCCACACGAGGCCGTCGAAGCTTTTGATGTTGTATCCAATCGAAGATCCGGAGCTCGAAGATCG